TTATAACGAGTTATAACTCATCATTCAGTCTCAGGGCTTTAACAAAAGCCGGTATCTGAGACGGCTCCACGGAGGCCAGCTCTTCATCCTCGACATCAGCCGTACCAAAGTTCATGGCACGAATGGTCGTCGTCTCGGCGCACTCAGTGATAAGGTGTTCTGGTGTTTCCCCATTTCCCGTTCTCGGGTTTCCTCACAGAATCTGCATTCGCCGTTGTTTATCAGCTTCAGCCTACTGAGGTGTTCGTTGAGGAGACAGTGTCCTGTTAGAAACCCCGTGACAATCCGAAGATTGTTTTTACTTAAATCAAGGAAAACCTTTAATTTTTCTCGGGGTATCTGTATGGGTAAACGTTTGAAAAACTACATCATGCTTTTGATCCAAAATAAGGGTCCAAAATCTATTGAGGCGCATTGCGTTACAGACCAGATGGTTAAAAAAAAGGCAGGCCTCGTTCAAATTAGCTCCGGCAGTAAAAATGATATTTTAAATTAAAATAATTTATTTTTATATTAATATTTTACATCCATACTTAATAATTCAGTCACAACTAATATTGCAATATGTCTTCCGATGAATGTACGCCCTAAACATACAGGGTGGTAAAATTTTGTAAAATAATTTTTTTCCCATAATAATTCTGATTTTATTATAGATGTCTTTAAGAAACATGATACACGTCTTCTATACATCAAAATACCATTTTTGATGTACAAATAATTTTATTTATTTCAACCAGTGCCGTCCATGCGGGTTTTGTATTGAATATTTTTGAATAAAAAATTGATACACCACTGACTTCTCTTGAAATAAAAATCCTTTTCAAAATCTCCATTCATTTCTAAACAATTTTTATTTCTTGATTTTTTCGTCCGGTGCATATTTATTGCTTAAAAAAAATTAAAGTCAGTTTACTTCAGGGTCAAATTGCTGAAAATCTGATGCGGTGACTGTTGTGTGTTTATTCTTAATCTAAGGTTGTGTGCAATTCGTTTCTGCATCGTCGGCTGGAAGGAAATTAAGAAATAAAACTTTTTTTTTGTTTATCAAAATATGCATTTTGATGTATGGAAGACGTGTATCAAATATGACATCAGAGATATTTTAAAAAAAATATTAAAATATTTTACCACCCTGTATTTGAAAAGTTAAGATATTTAGGACATATATACATGGTCCAAGAATCACCCCCTTAAATATTGCAGTTATTGTAAAGAAAAGTATTTTGCGTAGCCCAATAATATTCTTTGTAAATATTCTTAGATTATTATCATGTTTACTTCCGACCTAAAATTAAATAAAGAAGGTTAACATTAGTCTATATTAATAGTTACCTATTTATGTATGAATGGAATTTTAAGGGCAAACTTTCGGTTCTATGGCTTGAGGGACAACAATTTCCCGAGGTTATTAACACTTTATAGTTCCCTTGGTACATATAAAGTTTTTATTTCTTACTAAATTTAATGTATTTTATCCTATTTTAAAACGACAGAAACGTTGCATTTATTAATAAGCCTTTATATTTGTATTAGCGCTGCTGGTGGAAACTTTTTTTTATATCAGGTCACTATTGCATTAAATAACTTTATAAACTGACGGTTGTTGTCAATCGACTTCAGTTTTTTGTAAAAAACGCCTTTTGCATAAATTGGGCATACCGTTCAAGTACGTTTCGATTAAAATAGAGGAAATATTAAAAGGAGCTGAAGAAGCACAACAAGCGTTTACAAATCTTTATTGAATTACATGGTTATTACCTATAAAAAGTAGAGGGAATTACGGTATAATAATTCCCGTTAATAATGTCCCAAGGTAGTTATTACCAGGTTATGACTCTACATCCCGTCTTAGTTAGTGTAACCAAGACGAATAATCTTATATTAATTCAGTAAAATTTCATTCAGAACCTCCGAATTAGAAAAATAAATTAGTGCTTTCAATTAGCGTAGAAGTTTGTTCCTCTAATTTCAATGTAAGCATTCAGAACATCAAAATTAGTGGTAGAAATGTTCAATTAGTAGAAAAAGTTAACAAATATTTTCGACTAATTATACTTTTAATTATTTAATTATAAAATTTGCGAGTAATGTCATTTTGGCCTATGATTATCATCCGTTAGAAATCAAAAGTTTATTACTTTATAAGCTAATTATTAGGCTGTCTCTATGGATACAACTAACTACGGCAAGATGTTGTTAGGATATTCTATCAATTTTATTTTTTTAGACTTGTGAATGATCTTAAACTTCTTTCTCAGTATAAATTGTAGAAAAACCACTAATTTATTCCACTAATTTCCGAGGTTCTGAATAAAGCTTAAAATTTAAATTTCAATAAAAAGTTACCTAATTTGTAATTCGCACACGTTCGAGTACGTTTCCATTAAAATGGAGGAAATATTAAAAAAGAAGCTGAAGAAGCACAACTAGTGTTGCAAATCTTTATTGATTACATGATTATTACCTATAAAAGTAGAGGGAATTAAAGGCATAATAATTCCCGCTAATAATGTCCCAAGGAGTTATTACCAGGTTATGACTCTACTTCCCCGTCTTAGAGCTAGTGTAACCAAGACGATATAAGCTTATATTAATTCAGTAAAATTTCATTCAGAACCTCCGAATTAGAAAAAATAAATTAGTGGTTTCAATTAGCGTAGAAGTTTGTTCCTCTAATTTCAATGTAAGCATTCAGAACATCAAAATTAGTGGTAGAAATGTTCAATTAGTAGAAAAAAAGTTAATAAATATTTTCGACTAATTTATACTTTTAATTAGTTAATTATAAAATTTGCGAGTAATGTCATTTTGGCCTATGATTATCATCCGTTAGAAATCAAAAGTTTATTACTTTATAAGCTAATTATTAGGCTGTCTCTATGGATACAACTAACTACGGCAAGATGTTGTTAGGATATTCTATCAATTTTATTTTTTTAGACTTGTGAATGATCTTAAACTTCTTTCTCAGTATAAATTGTAATTGAAACCACTAATTTATTCCACTAATTTCGAGGTTCTGAATAAAGCTTAAAATTTAAATTTCAATAAAAGCTACCTAATTTGTAATTCGCACACGTTCGAGTACGTTTCCATTAAAATGGAGGAAATATTAAAAGAAGCTGAAGAAGCACAACAAGTGTTAATAAATCTTTATTGATTACATGATTATTACCTATAAAAAGTAGAGGGAATTAAGGCATAATAATTCCCGTTAATAATGTCCCAAGGGAGTTATTACCAGGTTATGACTCTACTTCCCGTCTTAGTTAGTGTAACCAAGACGATATAAGCTTATATTAATTCAGTAAAATTTCATTCAGAACCTCCGAATTAGAAAAATAAATTAGTGGTTTCAATTAGCGTAGAAGTTTGTTCCTCTAATTTCAATGTAAGCATTCAGAACATCAAAATTAGTGGTAGAAATGTTCAATTAGTAGAAAAAGTTAACAAATATTTTCGACTAATTATACTTTTAATTAGTTAATTATAAAATTTGCGAGTAATGTCATTTTGGCCTATGATTATCATCCGTTAGAAATCAAAAGTTTATTACTTTATAAGCTAATTATTAGGCTGTCTCTCTGGATACTAACTAAGATCTTGTTAGGATATTCTATCAATTTTATTATTTTTTTGACTTGTGAATGATCTTAAACTTCTTTCTAAGTATAAATTGTAATTGAAACCACTAATTTATTCCACAAATTTCGAGGTTCTGAATAAAGCTTAAAATTTAAATTTCAATAAAAGCTACCTAATTTGTAATTCGCACACGTTCGAGTACGTTTCCATTAAAATGGAGGAAATATTAAAAGAAGCTGAAGAAGCACAACAAGCGTTAACAAATCTCTATTGAATTACATAATTATAACCTATATAGGTTAATGAGGGAATTATGGCATCGTAATTCCCGTTAATAATGTCCCAAGAGAGTTATGACCAGGTTATGACTCTATTTACGGTTAGTGTAACCAAGACGATATAAGCTTATATTAATTCAGTAAAGCTTCATTCAGAACCTCCGAATTAGAAGAATAAATTAGTGGTTTCAATTAGCGTAGAAGTTTGTTCACCTAATTTCAATGTAAGCATTACGAACATCAAAATTAGTGTTGGAAACTGTAGAAACGTTCAATTAGTAGAAAAAGTTAACAAATATTTTCGACTAATTATACTTTAAAATTTGCAAGTAATGTCATTTGGCCTCTGATTATCATCCGTTAGGAATCAAAAGTTTATTACTTTATAAGCTAATTATTAGGCTGTCTCTATGCATACAACCTTAGATTAAGAATAAAAAGATACAACTGATCACGGCAAGATGTTGTTAGGATATTCTATTAATTTTTTTTTTAGACTTGTGAATGATCTTAAACTTCTAAGCAGGGTTCGGGAGTAGTTAATTAAGACGTAATTTACCTGATTAACTACATGTAGTTTTTCTTCAAAAACTACGTATTTTCCCGTTCATTAACTACATGAAAACTACGTTAATAAACTATGTATTGATATTATGAATAATTTTCCTTTGTATGAGGTGTAATAGAGATAATATGATGTAAATATTATATTTAAAGCCATATTTCTTCTGTTTTCTTAAATACATTATGTGTTTTTAAAGCTTCAACTTATTATAACCTCACCTCAAACCTTTGATATTTGAAAGTTACATACATAGGTTACATAAACTACACCCTCTACATAAACTACATTAACTACATGTAATGTAGTTTATGTAGTTTTTAAAAGTAACATGTAGTTTTCCGAACCCTGCTTCTAAGTATAAATTGTAATAGAAACCACTAATTTATTCCACTAATTTCGAGGTTCTGAATAAAGCTTAAGAAATCATGTAGTTTACTTCGATAGTCTATTTATTCAACGGGTGGGACAGCACTAATATTGGAGAAAAACTGCTGCTATTTATATCTATAGGTAAATTTTTAATATGTAAAATATACTAAAACTATTTACAATTTGCATTTTCTGAAAGTTTCCTGTAAACTAGTGGATTTTATTTTAATCTCTAGCCCATTACGTATTGCAAATACGATATCTCATCGTATCGAATGCGTCTTCGTCCTAAAGTCGTACTTGAAATCGTCAGGTTGTTCCTCTGTGACCGGTTTGACGCTGTCGGTACTGCCGAGATGGTTCCTTTGCTGGTTCCAGCCGAAATGCATCGGAGCCGCGGGCCCCACAGGCATGGGAAGCTGCACCGCCTGAACACAAACAAGAATGAATAAAATTAAAATTAAAAAGAAATCTTATAATATATATCTTTCTCCGGACAGCGGGACGTCTTGGCTTATACATAAGTTCTAATTATTAGGAAAAAGTTTAAAAGACATTTTTTATATCTCGAATATTAACGATATTATATACTACCGAAGTGTTGGTGTCTAGATATCGTATATAAATTTCGTTTATTTTACATAAACTTGTTATATTTGAATAAGTTAAACAGGATTTGAAAGCAGTGGAAATTTTAGAGGATGTTTTTTAGGCTTTATTACAGTATCGGAAAATGAATGGAATTTAAATATGTATATTTTCCAATTTTTAACTCAATATTAGTTATATATAAATATATCAAATATTTAAAAAAGTAACATAGTATTAAATATATTTAGAGTAGGGTTCAGAATCGAGAAAACCCGGTCTCGAAAGTACCGGAAGCTCCCGGTCCCTTTGAGCCCCGGTACTTTCGGGACTTGGTAACAAAAATTAAAAAATAATTTTTTGTTACTGTCCCTAGATCGAAATAACCCTTTTTGAGAAAGAGGGAGATCAGGGGAGTTATTTGCCTAAAGAATATGGTCACCCGTTAACAATTCCGCCAACTAGCGTTCAACTTGAAAGAGTTTCTCCTTCGGCTGGTGTACTTTTCAATATACAGGGTGTCCCAGGCTGAGCGTGCATTACAAGTTTCTAGAGAACTACAACATCTAGCTCGGAGATTTTTTTCACATCATAGTTTCATAACGAGATCTATCGATTAAAAATATTTTTAATATGGTGGCACTTCCGGAAATACAGGAAGTTGTACTTCCGGAAGTTGACAGCAACTTTCTCATTTTAAATGGGTGCCCCCATTTTTTATTACATATTTAAATTCTTTTTAAAATTTTATGAATTTTGATTTGATGAAAACACTCTATACCTAACATTGACCGTTTTTGAGAAAAAAAATATTTAAAACTTTTGAACGAAAAAAACTGCCTGTCAAAAATATGTGTATAGCCTAAACGTCAAATTTAGTGACAAATTTAGTGATTAGCACAACCACTAAAGCCATAAAGAGAAAACATGTGGCTATCTATTTCAAAAATTAAATTGTCCGAGTGTCATATAATAGGGCCGCAGCTGTCATAGAATTGAGCTATTACAAAATTATCATAAATCATTTTTTTCAAATGGAAACCCACTTTTTTTATTTAAAAGGCTTTTCAATTCGTTTTTGACTATACATGTTCCTATACCTAAAATAAATCGTTTTTAAGTTATTTAAGATTTAGCTTAAAAGCGTATATTTTTCTTGATTTTAACCAGTAGCCTATGACCTTAAAGGTTAAGTGACGTAAAACAATAGATCTGTATATTAGATCTGTAATGTAATATTATTAATAAAATCAACTATATCACTAAAGAGCCAAAATACGAGATATATGTTTATAAATACACTTTTTAAACTTTTAAGGCAGGCAGTATTTATAATTAGGAAATTCAAATAATTCATTTTCTGACAGATGGAAATAAATTGTCTGACTGTTTGCCATGTCAAAGGAAGCTAGATAAAATCAAGGAAAATATAGGTTTTCAAATTAAATCTTAAATAACTTAAAAACGATTTATTTTAGGTATAGGAATATGTATAGTTAAAAAGTAGCGAATTAAAAAACCTTTTCATTAGTGAAATAAAAAAAGTTTGTTTTCATTTGAAAAAAATGATTTATGATAATTTTAATCGCTCATTTGAACAATTTAATTTTTGAAATAGATAGTCACATGTGTTCTCTTTATGTCACAGTCAATATGACTTTTAGACTATACAAATTTTTATGAGAGGTAGTTTTTTTTGTCCAAAAATTTTAAATATTTTTTTCTCAAAAACGGTTAATGTTAGATATAGAGTGTTTAACATCCATATTCAATAGAATTTTACAGAACATTTAAGAATGTAATAAAAAAATGGGGGTACGCATTTAAAATAAGAAAGTTGCTGTCAACTTTCGTTATTTCCGGAAGTGCCGCCATATTGAAAATATTTTTAATCGATAGATCTCTATCATATAAAGTAAGTGACGGTTTTAAAAACCGTTACATTATTACAGTTAGGGCATAGTTGGGGGTTGGAACCTTTGGTGTTATAGCAGCAAAATAATAAATTACTTTCGCATCAGTAGACGATGCAAACATGGTTAGCGAAACGCGCGTCCAGTGCAAAAATAAAGTGTTTTGTATATATAAATAAATATCTGAAATGAACAAAATTCTTACAGCTTTAGTGTATATTAATAAATAATATTTTCTTGCCTTTAGCTGTGTATTTTTTCTAATTTCGAAAAATCGAAAGTAGAGAAAAAATTTAAAAAAAATATAAAAAGTAAAAAGAAAAATTGTTTTGCCTGTCGTAAAGTTTATTAAATAAATATCTTTATATCATTTGAATAAATTTAGATATTTCAGGTAATTACCATCTACTGAAAATATTTTCCGGATATTACTATATTATCCTAAAAGTGTATCTTTTACCTATTAATAAGAGAAATTGAATTTCCTTTTATATGTGCGTAGCGAATTGATTGTTTAAAGTTCGGCAACCAGATAAATGAAATACGTTAATTTAATTATTACAGACCTACTTGTTCATGTGTGCATAGACGATTCGATTTCCTCTCTTAATGGATTTCCGATATATTTCATAACTTTTGCATTATTATTTTATCAATATTCTGCCATTTGAGATCCTCTCCATATTTGTATAAGTGTATTATAATTCTTCATGTAAAACATTAGATATTAATAAATACAGCTTGTAGATAAAATTGTGATAAAACTTGTAGATATTGTGATGGAGATATTACTATAAAAAGGCTAGGTGAATGGAAGTCAACCACCGTTGCAAAGCTGATGCAGAAAATAATCAACAAAAAAACACGCTTTATACACTTTTCGACATTTTTGCAACAAGAACAGTTCAATTTTTTTTGTTTTTGTATTCCTAAATTTTTGAAGATGCTGAATTGGACAGGAGAAAATGCTTTGTCCCTTGCTTGCGGTTCATCAATCACTATACAGGGTGTCCCAGAAATAAGTACAGATATTTTAAGGGGTACTAGATCTCGATAAAAGAAACATATATTCTCTTTACCGTTTTTCAAATAAGTCCAAAATAATCGAGTTATTTTACTTTGAAAGTTTCCAAAAAAAATGATTTTTTGCTTAAATTTTGAGAACCACTGGATCTTTTCTGGGTTTTCTTTCTTGTAAATTTAATCTACTACCAATGTTACCATATTATCAAGAAATAATGTTTTTTTTATCTAAAAACTAAAAAAAATTAAAAATTTTTTTTTTAAAAACTTCCAAATTTTCAATTTTTTTTTCCGCGAAAAAACCTCATAGGCGTGTTTGTGGGATTGAAATATACTACCAGTTAAAATATCTATACTTATTTCTGGGACACCCTGTATAGTAGCGCTCTACAACGTACGCGATTTAAAACAATAATTATAAGTTTTGGCGGGAAGTCTTGTCAATACATTTTTCGGACAATTTTCTGAAATATTTTCATTTCAAAAATAGATATGAATTTACACCATATGAGGTGCATTATTTTTTTAACACATAAGTAATGCCTTCTAAATTATCTTATTTCAGATTCTTTGTTAGCTCGAGGAGAGATTATTGAATAGGGAGGTCATATTATATACCTGTTAACTTAATAAAAACGGTCTAAACACGGTGCGACTCCATTAAAACCACTTATAGCCGTACTTAAGAGGTTCATGGAATCAAAAACGGGTCGACGCATCTTCATAAGCTTCTTGGTTGCATACGTTTAGCCTAAATCGGCTATAAAACGAGTAGTTTTGTTAAGACGAGCTTTTAATTGGGCGGACGTTGAACCTCGTCAAGGGATCGTGTGGGCGGGGTCAAATCGTCCGCGTGTGAAAAAATATCGGTTAAGCATTAACTAACTGAATTCGATTTAGCCCAATAACTTTAATATTTTTCAACATCAAGTTTAAGAAAGTTATGGGAAGTGTTTCCGAACTTACTACCGAGAAAACGTTCTTTCTTGATTTAAGTAAGAACAATCTTCGGACTAGCCCCTCATACGCCAGAAGTTTTGCGGATTAGGCCTGTAGATTTAGTCTGCGGATTTAGCCCGCGGACTTGACCTGTAACGTACAAATTCTCTTGGCCTACCAATTAGATATTTGTTAAATATTGTTGTTTCAGACAAAATTCGTCGTTTTATAGAAATTTTTATACCGGGTGCGTCTCAAGAGTGGCTCACCCTTATAACTTTTTATTTTATCAGATAAAATAACGAGACTTGGTACGTTAGTATATGACATAAATCAGGACTGATTGACGTATTCAATTGTTTTTGGTCACTTCCTGTTTCTCGGGAAATAACTACAACTTTTGATTATTAAATGGCACCCTCGGTATTTTTTTACTTTATTCGATAGAAAATGACATTCTGAATAGAATGACATATCATATGTCAACTTTTGACATTCTCGGTTAATAGAAAGATGTATTTTAAATTTCAATCTAGAGTGCTTATTAGCATATTTGAAAAAAGCATTTTTTACGAATAGTTTGATAAACATACTTGGTATGTCGAGTCAAATTTTCGTTACGAACCGCAAGTTATAATTTCAAATAAACCATATGAGAAAATATCAAAAGTTGACATATATGTCATTCTATTCAGAGTGTTACTTTCTATCGAATAAAGTAAAAAAATATCGAGGGTGCCACTAAAAAATCAAAAGTTGTAGTCATTTCCGATAAAGCAGGAAGTGACCGAAAACAATTGAATACGTCAATCAATCCAAATTTATGTCATATACTAACATACCAAATCTCATTTTTTTATCTAAAAAAATAAAATAAAAAATTATAGGATAGCCACTTTTAATAAGCACCCGGTATATCGGGCGGTGGATCGGAAACATAGGAAATCCCATGCAAATTAAAAAATGTCCAAATATTGGCTCCCCTATGGACTTTACAGCGAAGTAGTAAATAGGTTTTTAAAGGGTGTAAAGATATGCTGAAAACACATGCTAAATTTGAATAATTTTGGGCAAGCCGTTTATAACAAATTTAAGAAAAACTGCATCTGTTTTTAAATTAAAATTGAACAGGTAAAAATGTAAAACCAGGCAAATGTCAGCATACCTTAAGTTGTCAACTTATAATTGTAAACCTTATGCTTTTATCTAATTTGAACAGGTTTTAAATTACAAACATGCACATCGGGACACTTAACCGGAGGTACTAAACATAGTAACGTAGTCAGCACAACAAATTGCAATCAATCGTAGGTTGAGCTCAATCATCAGTTTTTCTTAAATTAGTTAAAAACGGCTTGTCCAAATTTGTTCACACTTGACATGTATATTGCATGTGTATTTCACATATGCAGACCTTTAATAAACCTTTGTATATACGACTTCGCTGTAAAACCAACAGGAAAACGGAATGGGAAATAAATAAAAAGGGATTTCTGGAGGCGCGACTTGCCTCTCTCTTTATCTCGGTCAAATCCCTCAAGTGGAAATGGGCAGGACACCTGGCAAAAAGGACGGATAACAGATGGACCACAACTTACAGCATGGTACCCACGAGGAATTAAGAGACCTAGAGGAAGACCAAACCTAAGATGGGACCATGATATTAGAAAATTAGCAGGGATAAATTGGGCCCACATAGCCAACAATAAACAACAATGGGCCCAACTACAAAGAGAGTATGTGAGGTTAAACCATAATTGGAAATGGTTGAATAAGCTGAAAATGATTATGATGACCGAGTAAGTAAAGAGATCCGGTAGTGCCCAAATTTTATGCATTGCAATTATCGAATCGGTATTCTATAAAATGCCTAGGAGATATATATAATAAAATTTATTTCATACTATGGTCCTGATAGTTTTAAGAATTTTATATATAACTCCTAGGAATTCTGTACAAAGTCGGATTTCAAACTTTGCCTGTATCATATACACACATATACACAAAAAAAACTTACCGATGGCGCATAAATAGCACCGTATCCATTAATGTAAAATCCATGAATGTTATTATGAATGCCAAATGATGCAGGTGAATTCCTTCCTATTATTATGTTATGTTTATTAAAACGGTGAAATCTTGGTACTATACCAGTATATTCTTTAGTGTAGATATCTCTTGGAATTTGATATTTTGGTACTTTCAGGACACTGGAATATAAAATACAAATATACAAAATCAATTTAACTAATATTATTCTATTTTTAATATTTTGCGAAATAATTTATAGAAACTATACAAATACATCCGTTATAATTTAATTTAAATAAATAATAATGCTTTTTTGTTGGGAGGAAAATCTCTCTTCTGATGAAATAAATTTTGAATAAATTATTATGTCATATAAAAAATTATTAAGTACTTATAAAATTCACCCCGTTACTAAAGAGCAATTTTTCTACAGTTATAATTTAATGCTTATACAGTATTATAAAAAAATGAAATAATGCTGTTATTTAATTTTAAGAAATTCTTTAAGATACACATATTACAGTCTAGTTAGAAAAAAAAGTTAGTTCTAGAAATGTGTTGAAATTGTTTAGATCAGTCACTGAGAATTGAAAGAGAGAAACGTTTGCTCGGCAGTTAAAAGACCATACCATAACATGGTATACTGATGCTTCCAAAATTAATGCAGAAGGCATAGGAGTATATGGGCCGAAAATTAAACACTCCGAACCAATGGGCACATACCCCAGCATCCTTCAGGCAAAAATCTACGGCATCGAAAGATACTGCTTATCTTAAATAGAAACTATCGAAAACAAAAAGTAGCCATCTTATCCCACCTGGGCATTTTAAAACCGATCAACTGGGTAGCCTTAAAAGCGATCAACTGAATAGCCATCAATTTGAAGTTGGTCAAAAAATGCATAAGCTAAACAAATTAAATACAGAAAATAAGTCCTCCTATTCTAGGTACCAGCCCACCAAGAGATAGAAGGTAATAAAACAGCAAGCAATCTAGCGAAAGAAGGAGCGAACACCCAAATAACTGGACCAGAACGGTTCTGCTTCCCATGTGGAAACCCACTTAAAGCAGAAATAAAAAACCTGGAAGACTCTTTTCTTAACATGCTAAGAAACAACGGTAAATGCAGATTCTGTTGAGAAAATAGGGAAACACCAGAACACATCGTCACTAAGTGCGCCTAGACGACAACCATTCGTGCCTTAAATTTTAGTACCACTAAATCGGAGATAGAGAAGTAACCACTGTAAAACCGTCTCACATACTGGCTTTTGTCAAAACTATGAGACTATATGATAAGGTATAACTCAAAAAATGGGTACACAATGCATCGCGGTGATTAACTTCTGTAAACAATAGAAAATGGTATATAAAAAATATATATTTTAAGTACATCTCGAAAACTATAAACTTTCCGTAATTACCTCTTCTTATTCAAACTTAAACATTAAAAAATATAGATTTTCTCTAAGAAGTAATTTAGCAATAGTATTATTATATGTTATATTATTATTTTACTCACCCATGGTTATATATAGCTAACAAAAACCCATATTGCACGAATATTAATATAATCTAAAAATGAGAAAAAAAATTAAACTATATAAAAAGGTATACAAAATTCGGTACAGCTCCATCTATATGTTAAATACCGTATGATCGAAAAAAAATGGCTATAAAGGCGGCTGGAGATTGTCAATCTATTATAATTTTGTCGAGGTAAATCTCTAGACGAATGCATTTTTCTCAAAATGTCAATAATAAAAAAAAATTTCATCTTGTAAATACAATCCGGGAACATACTGTATACAGACTTTTAAGTAGTACCCTTGTTTATATACCTAATCAAGAGTAGTACAAACTTGGCAAAAGAATATAATGTGCCTAATAACGGATTATACATTATACACAATTTTAGAGTAATTTAATTTATTTAATAATAATTACATAAATATAAAAAATATATGCCTTTTAGTTCAATATCTTGTAATAAGTTGTAATAAATGATAAAAAACTATTTTTTTGTCGTTTTTATCAATTAAAACTACTTAAATTATACATATATAATAAATATTATACGCTTTGTAATAATTAAAACTATATTAAATATATTCATTTAAAAATTACTGTTTATTAAAATCGTTACGCTTTTTAATCAGCTTATATTAATTAGAAATATTTAAAACACTTACATTTGTAATCTGCATAATCAGAATTTATTTAATAAAATATTAGATATTGCTCAGGCTTTTTTATAAACCACCGACCTCACTTGCAATCTGGTAAATTTCTGTGTTAATTTTTACGTCTTGCACAGTTTCTTTAACGGAAAGAAATGAATTATACTTCACGCAATTTTAGATACACTCGTTAGCGGCAACGAAAGTTAGAACGATTCAGTTGGTAGCGGTTGATTTTTCACTAGTTTTCGGCAAAGTTTATAGAGAAAACTGGAATATACAGGGTGTTTCAAAAATATGTGCTATCTCTCGTGGGGAGATTCTTTACGTAAAAATAAAATTTATTTTTTATATCAGCGTAGCTCCGATTTTGCCTTGTTTCTTAGCTATAAAGGATTAGAATTTAGAATAAGTGGGAGGGGGGTTAATCAGTGCGACTTTACAGATCTATTGTGTCCCCCTTTCTTGAGTTATAACTCATCATACAGTCCCAGGGCTTTGACAAAAGCCAGTATCTGGGACGGTTTTATAGAGGGTAGTTCTCCATGCATCTCCAATATCAGTCGTACCAAAGTTCATGGCACGAATGGTTGTTGTCTCGGCGCACTCAGTGATGAGGTGTACTGGTGTTTCCCCAGTTTCCCCACAGAATCTGCATTCGCCGTTTCTTCTTAGTTTCAATCTACTGAGCTGTTCATTGAGGAAACAGTGTCCTGTTAAAAACCTCGTGACAATCCGAAGATTGTTTTTACTTAAATCCAGGAAGATCTTTGATTTTTCTTGATCGTAAGCCCTCAGAAACTTCTTCGAGTATCTTAGACCGTTGCAAGATTTCCATTCCAGGTTGCGGATGGAGTCTTCCAAGTTCTTGAGTTTCGCCTTGAGTTGGTTACCACTTGGTTCTGGTCCAGTTAGTGGAGTGTTCGCTCCTTTTCTATCTAGATCATAGGCTTTTTCATTGCCTTCTATCCCTTGGTGAGCAGGTACCCAGAGTAGGAGGACTTTGTTTTCTTTGCCTAATTTATTCAGCTTCTCTATGCATTCTTTGACCAATTTCGAATTGATTGATACTGAGTTGATCGCTTTTAACGCTGCTTGACAATCAGCAGCGTTAAAAGCGATCAACTCAGTATCAATCAATTCGAAATTGGTCAAAGAATGCATAGAGAAGGGATTAAGAGCTATAAGGGATTAAGAGTCTATTACGCTGTACTGTTCGGGTCGTTCTGAGGGGTCTGGTAAAAACGATCGGGTGTGTGGCCGAAAAAAATATATATTATATTTTAGAGATTTGCCTAAGGCTTAGCCCGATCTTGTCATGTTAAGCCACACCAAAAATTCCAAACACACGTGCTTTGATTAAGGTTTGCAGAGGTTAAGCATTTGCCATAAAATATAGCGAGCAATTTGTTACAAAACCATAAAAATTATATATCACTGTAATCACAAAACTTCAGTTTATTTCCGTATTCCGTATTAACGGAATTTTAAATTATGTCTTTATTTTCGAGAAAATTTAGTTCAAACACATAAGGAATATTTTGTTGATGTTTGACCATCAACATCTTAAAAATAAAGAAGTTGTCTAAAAATGTGCTACAATACGGATATAGTATAATCCTTTATCTTTAACTTCCTTCTTCATTTGTGTAAAAATACCTTGCCAGTTTTACATAAAACGTTAAATGCCGAACTTATTTTGCTACTTTTTCGGACTAGTGAAATGGACTCTTAAAATCAAGTTTTTTCCGATTTATTTTAATTTTTTTAAGGTGCTTTTAGTCATTCGATTGAAATTTTGAGGGTAAAAGTTATTATGAGTGATACATATTTTAATGTTAAAAAGAGTTGACTCCAAAATGAAGATTTTAACCCCCTGAAGCTACGAAACAAAGCAAAATGGGATCTATAACAATAATTCTCCCCACAAGAGATGGCACATGTTTTTGAAGCACCCTGTATATATTACAATGATAGGTTGTTCTCCTAAAACTTTCACCATCGGTAAGTGTGAATGAATATATGAAATAAGCAAATCATAGGTACAATACCACAATTAAAATCAATAACTTATACCGTATGGCCTTGTAATTTTACAGTTAATCAACACTTTTCCAAAGTTTAAATGATTTCTACTAAAATGTAAAAAAAACGGTTTTTATATCATTCACTAAAGGTCATTAACTTCAAGAATTTAAAATTTAAAAAATAATCTATATAGCGGCTTAAGATAGTTGAAAAACTATAAATTAAATTCCGTTATCTGACCCAACTCCTAAGATTATTTTTATTATTATTATTTTTTATTATTAATTTTTAATAAAGCGTAATTTATATTTATTACTATATGTATAAGTCAATTATACTATTACTACATACAAAGTGGCGCCTCTTATACGATGCGGAGGCTCCAAGAAGAACGGTAGTTTATATCGAAATGAATTTTTGGGAGCATATGTAGGTTAATTGAAAGCATTTTATAAAAATATATAGAGTTCTACAGGGTGTCCCCAAAGAAAGTTACGCATCAAAGTTATGTTTTTTGTAATGGGACACTCTATATATTAATTGATTTTTGGATTCTAGATAAAAAATAAAGGTGAGTTTTATTAAAGAAGCATATGCCTTAAGAGTAAGGATTTTGGCATATTTCACATTTTGTAAAAATGAAGAATAAATTTTAAATTTCAATTTCAAACAGCTATCTAAATTGTAATTTACCCTGTATAGCCTAATATTTAATTACAATAATTATTGTATGTTAAGTCAAATTAAGATTTTACCCGAAAAGTTATACAGGGTAAAACAAAATTAATACTGAACTTTGGTTACATTTAAAGGCAAGTTACTTCTTTATTTTAAGTAGAACCCCCAGTATATTATTCCGGTGTTCAATGGAGAATTCATATATTTTCAAAATATTATTATGGTTGCCTACCCCTCAGACCCCTCAAACAAATATTTTCTTAGATATTTTCATTTTTGTGATTTTGTGTCAGTAGATCTTTATTATTTGAAAAAGTCTAGGGTGGCTGTGACATAGCTTTTGTTAATTTGACAAAAATTAAAGAATGTTGAGTAAAATAGTCAACAATAATAAAAAGATACATGTTTAAGACATATTTTCATTATTACAGAATTAAAACTTGATATTAAACGTATAGTGAAAACAATTAGTTAGATTAAATCAAAATAAATGCTCAAAGTGCTTCCTTTCATGTTAATTGCATACAATTATTTTCTTTTCAAAAGATATTTTTATGTTAAAAGGCATATGTGGAGTTCTACTTCGAAAAACAGCTAGCCATTTCGCTCATTTTGTCGTACAAACATATATATATATATATATATATATATATATATATATATATATATATATATATATATATATATATATATATATATATATATATATATATATATATATATATATATATATATATATATATATATATATATATATATATATATATATATATATATATATATATATATATATATATATATATATATATATATATATATATATATATATTGTAAAAACCACCAGTATTATTCAGGTATGATTATTCATTCATAAATAATCTTGTATTTTTTATTTCATAATTAAATTATTTAATAAATGATAAGTATTTGTCACGTAACCAAACCAAACCATTGGTACTAGTAGTTAAATTGTTTTTGGTTACAGTTTTTTTTGTGTATCAAAATAAGCATTTTGATCAATGCTTGCAAATCAAAAAATTTTACCACCCTGTATCTGAAAAGTTAAGATGTTTAGGACCGAATCGCCTCCTTAAATATTAGCATGCCATTAAGGAACACCATTCATACAGGGTGGTCCTAACTGCATTCCGGAAACTTCGGTAGCATATTCTGCAAATAAAAATAAATAAAAAAGTTCGTATAAATGTATGTCCTAAAAGGCATCGTTTCGGATATACAGGGCGTAGAAGTTTCATTTTTATTAAATGTTTAAACCAGTTAAAAAATATGTAGGTGGCGCCCTCTACAAGTAGAAGTCATATTGATCTCAAAATCAAATTTTTGTCATAACCCTCCCAGACACCAATTTTCATTCATATATTGACGTTGCTTCAGAAATTATTTGGAAAAAATCGAAATAAAAAGGAAACTTCTACACCCTGTATCTCCGAAACTAAGCATTTTAGGACATACATTTATAGAAACTTTTTTACTTATGTTTATCTGCGGAATATGATGCCGAAGTTTCCGGAATACAGTTCGGACCACCCTGTATATTGTTCTGCTATTTTATCCGGGATTTCCCGGAAATTGCGGACGTCTGGCAACCCTAATTATAACCAATGAATAAAGAGCTAAACAAATCTGTCAAACGCTTCCTAATGGTTGAAACTAAAAAATATAATATACGGAGAACAAACTTGAGATTATTGACCGCGGTAGTATTGATGCGGTAATCCTGTTTTCACAAGATTATCTTTCTTCGTATTGCATTGCGAGACGACAGTTGTGATACAAAAAAACGTAATCGAAGTGAGAGTTTCCTGGAGCCGATGTTATAATTCTCATTGTGAAGGTGAAGGTAAATTTCTTGGTCAAAGCCATAGATTGAGAGAAAGGCTGTACGGCAGTGGTCAAAAATTTGTTTTATCGGGCAAAAATATTACAACAGATTTTTTGAAAATGTCTCTTTTTCTAAATATATCATTAGTTTTGCTATACAGGCTAAATAAACTGATTTTGAATGCTTAAAATATTTTATATGATTACTAGCGTGTACCAGCGACTTCGTTCGCGTCGAATTAATCACTTGTAATGGTGATGATAAAGCAAAGCAAGAATTTCCATTAACATACAAACTGGATAAAATTTTCTCACATTTATGTCAGCATGAGAAAAAACAATATGGCGATATTATTGTATAACTTGGTAATATTTGAGGGGTAGTTTCATCTCGTTGGAATTTGACTTTCGAAAAATCCGTTTGCCAAAAATAAGCTTTTTACGTCAAGCAGTTTAAGTAGAATTGTGGTTAAGAAATTACCCAATTTTTTGGAACACAGGGTATAATTTTTTAAAAAATTTCAAAATATGTAAAAAAACCAAAATAAATTAAGCTTGTCCAAGTGTTTTCCCGAAAGA